TTATGATCTTTGTCTTATGACCACAGTTGGCACTGTAACTTCCATTGTTAAGTAATGTGATTATTGAGTTATATAATAATAATAATAATAATAATAATAATAATAATAATAGTTAATCCACTATTAATAATAATAATAATAATAATAATAATAATATAATAATATAATAATAATATAATAATAATAATAATAATAATCCACGCAGTGACATTGATAGACTTTATCTACCAAGGCAAATAGGTGGGCGTGGAATGCTACAAGTACATCAGATGGTTGAAGAAGAAAAAATGGCTTTGGAAGAATATCTGAAGAACCATGATGAAGATGCACTGAAATTAGTATATCAGGAAGGCTTACTAACTACTGGAGAGACCAAACTGGCCTACAAGAAAGACCAAATGAAGAACAGAATAGAGGCATGGGAAGACAAAGCACTACATGGCCAATACATGAAAAAAATAGCTGGGAACGCAGATAATAATAAAACCTGGCAATGGCTAAGAGCAGGAAAATTGAAGAAAGAGACCGAGGGACTAATTCTGGCTGCACAAGACCAAGCCTTAAGGACAAATGCATACAAAGTCAAAATTGAGAAGACAGCAACAGACAGTAAGTGCCGCCTATGCAAAGAAGCTGAAGAAACAGTGGACCCCTTGGTAAGCTGTTGCAAGAAGATTGCACAAACTGATTACAAGCAGCGGCATGACAAAGTAGCAACAATGGTGCATTGGAAGATCTGCAAAAAATATCATTTGCCGGTAAGCAAAAACTGGTGGGATCATAAAATAGAGAAAGTCATAGAAAATGATAAATTAAACTGCTCTGGGACTTCAGAATTCAAACAGACAAGCACCTGCAACATAACACCCCAGACTTAACAATTGTCGATAAGAAAGACAAAAAAGTCTGGATAGTGGATGTTGCAGTGCCTGGAGACAGCAGAATAGACGAGAAAGAACTGGAGAAGATAACAAAATACAAAGACCTACAAATAGAAATAGAAAGACTGTGGCAAAAGCAAGCAAGGGTAATACCAATAGTCATAGGCTCCTTGGGTGCAATCCCAAAACAACTGGAGCGCCACTTGAACACCATTGGCATTGACAAATTCGCTATTAGTCAATTGCAAAAGGCAGCCTTATTAGGAACTGCTTCCATCCTGCGACGATATCTGTAATACCATCAAACATCCACATCTGCCTATCCCCGGTCCTGGGTAAGGACTCGATAGGTAGACAAAATGCCAAATCCAGTCTGAACATCTGGCTGACTGTGCGATGATCGATAATAATAATAGTTGGAAAGTACCTTGGAGGTCATCTATCATGTGACTGTACCAATATAAAATTTTCACTGCAGCTATTAAGTGAATTAGCAGTTGTTAAGTGAATCTGGCTTCCCCACTAACTCTGCTTGCCAGAAGTTCCTTAAGGAAGGTTGCAAATGGTGATTACAATGCTCTAGTATACTGCAATCATAAGTACATTCTAGTGGTCAAGTGCCCAGTTGTGATCATGTGACCATGGGGACACTGCTGTGGTCCAATGCAAGGACTGGTTTTGCCTTTTTTCAGTGCTCTTATAACTTCAAAATGTTACTAAATGAAAGGTTGTAAGACAAGAATTACCAATAATCTTTCGCTGTAATCTTTGGAAAATATCAGTAGACACAATGTAATTATGCTAATGAATATTTCATCATCAGTTCTACTTAGATAGTAAACACATTAGTAATTTAGTAACACCAAAAACAGTTGTCATATCTGACATTATCAGATTATCAAATTATCAAAATAAACTTCATGCGTTATTTGAATTAGATCTGAAGTTGAATGCTAAGATTATTTTAAATTAAATGAAAATAATTTTAGTACTCGATCTAAAATCCAAATCAAGTAATAATAAAGTTAATTTTACTAATTTCAGTGTATTTTTTTAAGAATTTACACTTATTAATTTTTTAAAAATCCCAATGCCATAATTTTTATATATATAATTGTACAGAAATTAATGTTATTTAATTATTTTTGCCTTAAGTGATTTTTCAATACACTTTCTGATATGAATACCTAGATCATCTACGATTTCATAAAATAAAGAACTTTCTTAAAACCTGATGTAAATATTGCAGAGACCCAGCATGTTGTAGTGGTTAATGCATCAAACTAGTACAGGTAGTCCCCAAGAGGATTTCCTCTACGATTAATGCTTATTGTGGCTTTGTAATACAGGTAGTCCTCAACTAAGGACCACAACTGAACCCAATGTTTCTGTTGTTAAGTGAGACATTTGTTGAGTTTTGCCCGATTTTATGACCTTTCTTGCCACAATTGTTAAGTGAATCACTGCAGTTGATAAGTTAGCAACCCAGTTGTTAAATGAATCTGGCTTCCCATTGACTTTGTCAGGTCACAAAAGGTGATCACATGACCCTGGGACCCAGCAATGGTAATAAATATGAACCAGTTGTCAAGCATCCAAATTTTGATCACGCGATAGGGATGCTGCAAAGGTCATAACTTTGAAAAACAGTCATAAGTCACATTTTTAGTGCCGTTGTAACTTTGGTTACTAAACAAATTGTTGTAAGTTGAGGACTACCTGTAATTAGAAAACTGAATTCTAATTCTGCCTAGATGACCTTGGGCCAGTCACTGGCCCAAGAAGCAGGCAATAACAGACCACTTTTGAAACCCTGTAAAGAAAACTACATGACTTATCCAAGCAATTGCTAGTTGTGAGCCCCCTCCAAATTTTGGAAATGTTAAAACAGCCAATTTTTAAAATAGATTTGTTGCATTACAGATAGTCCTCTGCGTATGAGCATAATTGAGCCCAAAATTTCTGTGTTTAGTGAGACTGTTTTTCCCCAGTTTCTTTCTTACAGTGAAGTGAATCACTGCAGTTGTTAAATTAATAACAGGGTTGTTAAGTGAATCTGGCTTCCCCATTGACCTTGCTTGTCAGAAAGTTGAAAAAGGTGATCACATGACCCCAGAAACAATGCAATTATCATAAGTCAATTAATATTTGATCACTTGATCATGGGGATGCTGCAACATTTGTTAAGTATGAAAAATGATCATTATTCACTTTTTTCCAGTGTCGTTGTAACTTTGAACTTTGTAATTCATGGACTACCTGTATTATTAGATCAAATAAAGAGAACTAGCTATTGCACGACTATGAATGTAGGGCTATATAGATCTCTTTGAATTTGAGGACAAAAATCATCCAGAGCTTTTGAAAAGGTTGAGGCAAGTGGCAAGAGCTTTAGGTCATCCATGTTTGTAGTAGAATAGCTGGTGAAATTCACTAAATGAATATTGTAAGCCAAGGACTACCCATATCACTCTTCTTTCATTCTGATTTCAATAGTTGACCATTTGCAGAAATAAAACATCCGTTGCTATAAAGGTAGCCCTCGACTTACAGCAGTTCATTTAGTGACTGTTTGAAGTTACAATGGCACTGATAAAAGTGACTTATGACCATTTTTCACACTAAGACCATTGCAGCATCTCCATGGTCACATTATTTACATTCAGATGCTTGACAACTGGTTCATATTTCTGATGGTTGCATTGTCCCAGGATCATGTGACCATCTTTTGCAGCCTTCCGACAAGCAATGTCAATGAAGAAGCCAGATTTACTTAAAACCCTGATACTAATTTTAACAACTGCAGTGATTCGCTTAACAAATGTGGCAAAAAGTCATAAAATGGGACAAAACTCCCTTAACCAATTTCTCACTTAGCAAGATAAATTCTGGGCTCAATTGTGGTCGTAAATTGAGGATTACCTGTAGTTGTTCTCCAATACTTTAAAAGGTAGAAGAATAACATCAAAACTGCATAAATGAAAACTTCAAATGCTCTGATGTAGAGTGAATATTAATCCTCAGACCAGAGAAAAACCCAGCAGTTTAGTTACAGTTTATAGCCTGCACATACACTGGCTTTTTGCACATGTATACTAAACTGTGGCCCAAGTGCACTCTGCATTAGTGCAATCAGATAACAACAATCAGGGCCCACAGTCAACTTTAGCAAAAAGCTGTATTAACAGCCACAGACTTTCAGTAATTATTTAAAGTTATTTAAAATTTCAGTAATTGTTTAAAATATCTCAAATTCTTGATTAGAAAACCCAGCCAAGAGATTTAAAAGACATAACTTCATCCTTTCTCACTTATCAGGTTTCTTCTGAGCTTAATCAGCCACCTGGCTTTTATAGAGCCACATAAAATCAGGGCCTTGAATTGAGGCTTGATTGTAATTATCCTCAGTCCAGCAACCTGTATCCAAGTCTAAGTCCATATACTTTTAAGAAACCTCTGGACATGATTAAAATGCTACCTTTTACATATAGATTTAAATAGCAATACCCGGCCTCAGTATTCCTTTCTTTAAAAAAAATAGTCATCAATGTTCCATGACTTAAAAGCAAACTTTTTATATAGCTCGAAAACAATCGCTTACTAATTATTTACAAACATCCCACGAGTTACTTGAAGCGACTGCGAAAGGGAGGGGCCGGAGGAGATGAGCAGAGATTGCGCAAAGCTCTTATTCAGGCCACCGAAAACCCTTGGCGGGGAGGGTCGCTTGCTTTTAGAAAGCACGGGCCGGGTTTCTGTTGCTTTTTAAAGATGTGAATAGGAGCGCACACCGGAATGAGGCCTGCAACCCTGAATGCTCCTGGGGTCCCCTTAAAAGCCCAAAGCGCTTAAAAGAGGCAGAGAAATCAAGTAAAATTCAAAGCTGCAAGAAAGGAAAGAACTGCTAATGAAGCAAGGAGGGCGACACCACACGTTTCAATAGACACGGCAGTGGGTCAGAGGTGTCACTTCGTAAAGGAGGGGAGAGGCCAGAGCCCAGATGCGCAGCGAAGACATGCCAGACATTGCGCCCGTCCACCTCCCCTTCCCCCTCCTTCTCCTCCCCTCCTCTCCCGAAGACTTCCTTCCTTCAGCGCCCAGACAAAACATTCCCCTTACATCTTCTGCACGGGTTTCCGCCGCTTGCGGCTGGCGTAGGTGACATTGGGATTCATCCTGCCGCCCACACTACGGCTCCTCTTCGGCCACCAGGGTTTTCGGCAGAGAGTTTGAGTTTTCACTCCTGGCTACAAACGGAAAGGCAAAGGAAAAGAAAGCTCCGGGCACTGTGCCAGACAGCGACGGCTTTGAGGGGGCTTTTTCGGCGAAGCGAGTCCCGGCTCCACCCGCTGCTTGGCCCGGCCCTGCGTGTGGTTCCTACTCGCCACGCAGAACCCCCCGCTCTTCCCGCCACACGGAGTCCCCTGAGGGGCGGCCGACTAAGGAAGGCGAGAAAGACTGGGGCGGGGGGGGGAGCAGAGCCAGGTGCTCGGCGCCGGCAGCACCCACTCCCCCGTTGTTGTCGTGGTCGCCCACCCCTCCTCCGGCGGGTAGGTGCCTCTGGGCAGCCGCAGGGCGGGGTCTCCGAAACAGGTGCGGAGGCGGCTGCCGACCGGCGGACCGATTGGCTCTCCCCTCCCCTTCTCGTCAGGAGCAAAGGGACCTAAGCGGCTGCCACGGCTGGAAGCGAAACCTCCCTTCCCCTCCGCAAAGCTCGCCTCGCCGCTGTCGTCAGCAGCGGCGTTCTTCGAGGAGCCAGAGGGCCTGGTTACGTTTCGTGTTTTCTCCTCCCATCGCCGATCCCTGCCTGTCTTCCTGGGCTGCGGCAGAAGTCTGCCGCGGGTTCCCGGTCAGCAGCGACCCGGCTAAGCCGCCAGTCCTTTCCCCTCCCGCGGGCCCGGCCCACAGCCCACCGAGGAGGCCTCAGTGTGGCTAAGGCAGCGGAAGGGAACCGAAGCCCCGCCATGATCGGAAGCCAGGCGGAAGAAAGCAGCCTTAAGCGACGGGAAAAAATAAAGGCGGGTAGCAGAGTTCACCCTCGGAGCCCCAGGACGATCTCCGGGCCGCCTTGGCACACGGCTGCCTACCTTCGGGGTAGCCCTTAAAGGACTTTCGAAGGCGATTTTGCCTCTTTGTAAATGAAGTGCTAGAAATATAGGCGCGGCGGAAATAGTTCGCAGGGGAATATTTGCTGTCCACCCCCCGCGGGTGGTATAACTTGATGTCTGCATAACATGGGCTATTCCCGCTGAACGCTGGCTCTACTTCAATTGGAACCTTTGCAGGAATTGCAGATCATCTGATCTCCCTCCGAGATAATGGGTGACAAAGCCTAGCAGATTTCAAGTTCAAGTGGAGAAAAGCCATGTGGGCTGCAAGCTTCTCCAATCTGGTACCCTACCCATAAATTGGAATGCGAGTGCAAACAGCACAATCAAAAATTCTTGGATCGGAAATGATTGTCATAAACAATTCACACCTGCTATACTTCTACATTTAAACTATAGTTTTTAAAAATTACTGAGAGTAAATATCTCTTTATGCCAGTCTTAAAAAGAATAGTATAATCTAGACCAGACATGTGAAACACAAGGCCCGGGGCCAGATGTGGCCCGCAAAGTGGTTTCATGTGGCCCGTGAAGCCATCTTGGAAACAGTGAGGGAACAGCCCCCATTGTCTTGGCCCTGGCGCAGGTTGGCTAGGAGCCAATGTACAATTTTGTGGTGGACATCTATGCTGAAACTCATTTGGTCTTAGCTCCACAAGGCCATCTGGAAACAAGGAACCCACCCCTACTGCGTTGGCCCTGTCCCCTGGGTGCATGCTGGGGAGATGTCACCCTTTGTGAGGAATGAAGAAATGCACCATCGCCTGGAAGTAGCCAGCAAATGGCCCTTGCCTACTTCACATATATGGCTTGATGGGTTCCAGTGGAGGGGTTTCAGCAGGCAGTAAGGCTCTTCCAGTGGACCATCCTTGGCACTTGCCTTGGTCCACCCCCTTCTGCCAGAGACCCTCAGATCTGTCACACTCCTGCCCAGGGCCCTACAGGCACCCTTGAACCGAATGATATAGAGCTGGCCATGCCCACCCAAAAGGCCACCCTGACCACACACCCCCAGCCCCCCCCAAGGGCAACCGCAATGCTGATGTGGCCCACAATGAAATTGAGTTTGACACCCCTGATCTAGAACTGTATGATCTTAAAACTACTGGATCCAAATAAATTTAGAAATCTCAGGTGTGTGAAGATATTCTTAAGTAAGAGACATGGTTTATTTTTAGAATGTAGATGTGTTCTAGAACAGGGCTTTTCAACCTTTTCACCCATTGTACCACTTTTAGGATATGGTGACATCCGAGTACCACCAGTTGCCTAGCAAGGTGTTAAAAACTTAATGACCAAAAGAAAAAAAAAGGAAAAAAGTGATAAAGGTAGACCTTGACTTACAATAGTTCGCTTAGTGATTGTTCGAAGTTACAATGGTACTGAAAAAAGTGCCCCCAGCCACAGCCGAACAAGACACCTGCCTGCCCACCTGGTGGCGCTCTTCCTCCTGTCCGAGGTTTTCATTGTTGTGAGCATTTCTTTTGAGGATTGGCAGCGGGGGTGGGGTGGGGGGGTGTTTGGTTTTTATTCCCCCAATCTGCTGGGTGATTGCAGCAGGTTTTGGTCACTTCACATGACCCTGGGACACTGTGACCATCATAAATATGAATCAGTTGCCAAGCATCTGAATGTAAATCACAAGACCCTGGAGATGCTGCAACGTTCCAGCTGATTGGCGCTTCTTCTGGACTCACCAGAAGCACCAGGATCAGCACCGAGCTCCAGCTGAAGCCTGGCACTGATCCTGGTGCTTCCACTGAGCCCTGACAGTCCCAAAGAAGCGCTGATCCTGGCATTTCCGCTGAGCCCTGACAGCCCTGCAGCTCCAGCCATCTCTCAGGCTTGTGCGGTGCTGCCACCGGTTCAATTCATTTTCCTCCGCCGCTACTTTTCTAGGATGGTCACGTACTACTTGCCAGGTGCCAATGTACCACAGGTGGTAATCGTACCACTGGTTGAAAAGCCCTGTTCTAAGTCTTCCCAAAAATGTCATAGTAAAGAAAATTATATATTAATGGTTTTACCTATGAATCCACACCAAACAATTATATAACTTTTATGCAATTCTTCTTTAGGAGAACAATTGTATATATTACCATGTTTGCATGCAAATTTAATAAAAATAAGATTTCTGTTCAAGTTCCAACATTTTTTAGAACTTGCTGCCCAGTGGAGTAAGCTTGAAAGAGTATTGCCTAATGTAAATGCAAGAATAAAAGACAGAGGTACGTGCAATGTCCAGAAACACTATCTAGTGTTAATATTTCATGACTACAAGTGATTACCTAACTATAGCTATAATTGACCTATACAGATGAAAGAATGAAATCAAAAATAATAAATTATTATCTGCCCATTTAAACCTTATTCATCAGTTAGAAGACTTAAGTGTGATGAACAGTTGAGAATAAGATTGAACGTACAAAATTAGGAGTTTTAGTTCTATGTTCATTTGGTGGAACAGGTACTAGCTACAACATAATGCAGCTAATTTTTCTCTTCCAAAACCCCTGCAACTTTAGAAGCTAGATAGAAAATAGATACATTTAAAAACAATTGGTCTCATTAAAGACCACTTTTTTTAGAATAGGACAGAAAATTAGCCAGATTGCATAGATAGTCCTAAAAACTGGAAATAAAACAATACAGCTTTATTCTAATTCATTAACCTCAATTAGGTAAAACCAGACTAACCATGAGTAATCTTTTTATATTTTATTAATTTTCTATTAATAAAGATTAGTAAAACAGCATGTTGTCAGAGTCCATTTTTTTACTTAATAATACATATTAAATTCCTAATCTCTACCCCTTTTTTCCAACCAATGATAAACCACATCTCATATTTAAAATTATTCTATATCTTCTTTTTCTTTACTCTTCAATATTGATCTGTCCATTTCTATTTAGTTCAGTGTTTTCTTGATCATTTCTTCTTTAGGTAGTGTTTCTTCATTTTTGCAGCACTAAGCAAATACAATTCTTACTACTATCAATACATGCAACATTAAGTATATATTTCCTCATCAATTTTTTCTAATATTATACCTAATAAAAATATTTCCAGTTTATAACATCTTTTCTAGCCAACTTATATCTCAATTGTATTTGCAATTGAGGCCATCTTATTAAATCAATACCTTGTTCTTTCCAGTCTTATTTCAATTTTGATTTTGGTATTCAAAATATCTTTATAGGTAGATATTCTGAAAAGCTAAACAAATTCAGATCTAATTAATTCTGGTTGGAAATATCAGAGGTATAGACTAGTTTCACAGATGAAACTAAAAAGAAATCTGCTCACCCCAGATGCTGCCCACCTAGCATGCAAATGTGAGTAGATAAATAGGTACCATTTTGGTAGGAAGGTAACAGAGTTCCATGAACCTCAGTGTATGACTACAGAAATATCTTTAGACAATGCTGGCTCCCTCGATTAAGAAACAGAAATGAGCACCATTGCCTAAAGTCAGACGTGACTGGGCAAGAGAAACCTTTACCTACAAGAGTAATGAGAGGTCCTGAATGTTTTTGGAGGCATCAAAAGTGTGTGGAGGGGAATGGACATGGAAGAAAAGAAACTACAGCAGAACAACCACAGGAGAAGCAGTAACGTTTTCATGAGAAAGTGTTAGAACAAAAAATTCATCTCCTAACAGATGAATGGAAAGTAGACATAAGGAAAAATTATTTGAATATTGCTTGGAATAGTATAAAAAGAATTCTGTTTCAAAGTACCATTGAAATGTGTAGTTATATCCGTGAGAAACATGATTAAGACTGCTTGATGGAATGAATTGAAAGAGCCTGTAAATGAAGATAAAAATCTATATAAGGAAATGATCACTGCAAAAAAAAAAAAAGACAAAAGAAAGTTATTACTAGGTGGAAATGATTAAACAAGGAACCTTCAGCAAAATAAACAAAAAATAAAAATGAAAGTGATGAAATGAATATGATGAAACTGAAATGATGGAATCTGGAAGAAATATTCTAGAAATGTGTGTAGAAATTATAGTGATATGTTGGAGATTAAAATTGGAATGAATGTTTTATAAATGTTTGTACAAGAAAAAAATGCATGACAAGAAAGTCATGAATGTGAAAACATTAAAAAAACACAGTTAGTTAAGCTGCAGGTACAGATGGTGCTAATAGCATGATGGAATTATAGAAATTATACAAATGTTGCAATTATTTCCCTACATCAGGACATCTAATGCAGTAATAAGTCACAGCATTTGCATGAATATAGTGACTGTACATGTTATTTCTTCTCTCTCTGCAGATACCCAAGAACAGTATAACTGGAAGAATGTTAGGGTGGGGTTGAGTTTGCAACTTGTTTAATATGTATATAAAAACTGCTAGAGGATTGGAAGAATGCCATTATTGTTTCTTTATGTAAAGGGAATCATAACAAGAGTGAATGAAAAAAGTTATTACAGAACTAATGTATTAAGCCCCAAAAGGTATTTGCAAATTCTGATTCAAATGATACAGTAAAGTGACAATGAGAAAAAAAAAGGTAGTGTTTCTATATAGTTGTCATAGAGACTGCAGATCAGAGTTTTGTTCTTCAGTTGGTCACTGTGAGAAAGTGAGAAAGAAATATTATTGTATATTTGCTGATTTAGACCAAGCGTAGAATTGAAGGTTAGTTGCTAAATGCATTAAAAGTATATGTGTTAGAGTTAGGGTGCCTGCATATATGGATTGATTGAAGTTATGACAGTCACAGAATGGGTGCTTTACATCCTCTTCACCACCCTTATCTGCTCCCATTGCAGTTATGTGACCACATTAGGCAGGTCAGCTTTATGACCCATTGTGGTATTCTGCAATCACATGACCACATTTAGCAACAATAACTGGCAAAAAACACTCATTAAAATAAATGGGTTTGCTTAACAATCATGGCATTTGCTTAACAACCGCTGCCTAAAAGGTTGAAAAATTACTTCAGGTTGCATAGCTTTTTATCTTCTTCAAGAAATAGGTCAAGTGGTAGTGATGTCCAAAGCCCCGTCTCTCCATTCACTATACTAGTGTTCAGAGGAAGCAGTCTATCTGACTCTTGTTGCCATAGTGCTATTACCCACATTATAGGTGGAAAATATTGCTGGTCCAGCCAGTTCAAATAATCAGCCAGTGTTGTGGTTCTGATTGGTGTTGATCTTTAATTATCTTTATCTGTAATATTTCGTATAGCTACAAATGACTGGATGGTATTCCTGAAATCTAATATCATTTGAAACTAACCATCTGGAGTCCTAGTTTCTCATCATTATGCTTTGGCGATATAAAACAACTACGGCTTAGAACAAGCAAGAATGAATTAAGAAAGAAGTAAGTTAAAGAAATTCAAAGCCTAGATAAACTATATTCTAGGACACTGAAGGAAGTAATAGAAATGGTTACAAAAATGCTTTTAGTAACTCTAGAATAAAAGAATAACAAAGTTGGAAGGGACCTTGGAGGTCTTCTATTTCAAACACCTACTCAAGCAAGAAATCCTATGCCATTTCCCAAAGGTGCTTTTTCAAGAATAATTGGACTTTCTTGTTTTTCTTTGAAGACATATTGCTTCTCATCCAAGAAGCTCCTACAGCATCACTCAGGTGACCTCAACGATTCTCTAAAAGAATGCAAATGACCAGCTGGCTACAAGGAATATAAATCCTTCCATTCCCCAACAGTCAGAGCTAAAGAAGCTTCTTGGATGTCTTGAAATGTCTTCAAAGAAAAAGTCCAATTGCTTCTTGAAAAAACACCTTTGGGACAACCATGACCTGGATGACTGAGAATCTCCATAGATACCTATATGATTTCAAACAAATGATTGTCCAATCTCTTTCTTAAAACCTCCCACAACTTCTGAAAGCAAATGGTTCCACTGATTAATTGTTCTAACTGCAGGAAATTTCCTCTTAA